CACTTGTGTGGAAGGCATGATACCAGCTCTTAGAGGTTTGGGTTGTTTTTTTTTTTTTCACCATAACTAAGTTGAGTATCCTTGCTGTTGTAGACACATAATTAAGCAAAAATGCATCTGAAGGAGGTTATCTGACCTTTTACCTACTCAATATACAAAAATCTACTCAAAAATAAAAAGTTTAAATCAGAGCAGAGTAGAGCTTGGAAGCCTTGGGGCCTTGTTGTTGCATGGAGAAAGAGGAATCACCATCAACTATGATTAAAGCCTGAAAGCTCATTACTAATCTAGAAATCTAAGGTTAGAAACCTTTTGAAAAAAATCTGATAAGTACCCTTATTCTCAAGAATACCCCAAGTGCTCATGATTGATTACTGTGGATGTATAAAATGGAAATGGTGTAAATGGTGATTAAATAGTGTAGGGGAGCAGTAATCATACAAAGAACTCCTTGTTGTGGGTTGCATGCTCTAATGTGGAGTAAATCTGTGAAATCAAAGTATCTATCTACTAATAATTGTTAACTAATTGGTGTGGCAGCTTCTGGGGCTCACTTTTAATTCTGTGAGGAGTGTTGTCCAGCAGCTCAGGCACATGAGGGTCAGAAATGATGATGAAGGTTGCTCTGATGAGATGTTAATGCTCCAGTTAAGGTTAACAGCTGCCCTCGGAGCCCCCAGCCTAGAAATCAATACTGTCATAACCAGTTGACATCAGTGGCAGTACTTCATGGACCTTCGTCAGAACCGTTGACATGAAAGTGAAGCTTTGTGATGATTTCTGATGGATTTTCAACCTCAACTTTTCCTCTTGGTTCTGACATCTTTCCTTCCCTTCCTCCCTTCCCACTTTTTCTATAGGTACCGTGTTATTCATGGGAAGGGTAATGCACCCTGAAGCAATGAATACAAGTGGCCACGACTTCGAAGAGCTTTAACTGCCACCAGCTACCAAAAAGAGGAGATAAGCACATAAAGTTTGAAGTTAATATATTTAAGGTTTGCTGTGTTTTTCCCCCAAGATATTGTTTAAAATGCTTTCAGATCTAACTGTGTGCAAGTCAGTTTCCAGAGGAAAGCTTACAGTATTAAATAATGGTTCTGTTACTGTCATTGTGGTTGCTGTGTCCTTAAAATAAACCTGTGTACATGTCAACAACTGTTTCTTGTTCTAGTGAATTGTAAAGCAAAAAATCTTGCAAATCCATTATTTGTCATTTCTTTACACTCCAAAGACTGACTTGATCAATGAGACAGGAGTGGAATGTGTGCAGCTGTGAATAATGCAAACGGCAAACCTTGATGGTAATTTATAGAGTTGAAGAGCTACATCTGGAAAATGTGACCTCTTCCTGCTCCTGTACAAAGTAGTAAACAGACTTGCAGTCTGTCTCATCAAAGTTAACGTAACAGATTAAGCCTAGTGGATTTTATTCTATAAGATAACTGTGGTAGACTTTGTGTGAACTCTCCCACGTGTGATGTTGCTTTTATGAATGCTCCTGCATGTGACTCTGCAATTCACCTTCCCTAACTGTTGATGCCAATAAAATTTGATCGCATGAATATTTGAGATCAGCCAGTGTAGAATAGCTCTGTATGTGACTCAAGTAAAATAGTTGAATAGTGATGTCATTTGTGTGGACATATTTTTCTTCCCCAAAGTAGTTCTTCTACTTTAACCTAAACTTTACAGTATCTCACTTAAAGGATCTAGAATGATCTTTCTCAATGGGGTTTTTTTAAAAAGAACAACAACCGAAAAACACTGCAATTTTAAGTGTCTAAAAATGTTCTATTCATAAATAAATGTCTAAAGGAACAACGTAATCCTTTTTATTCCCTAACATTTTATTTCTAATAAACTGACAGAGAGGAGAATGACACATACAACAAGTAAATATTAGCAAGGGAATTAGCTGCTGTTTCCATTTGCAAGAGGAGGAGAAGTACCAGTTGTCAACAGAGAGGCATATAATTATTTCCTCCTTCATTGTGCAAAATACAAAAAGAACAGAAGTTATTAAAAAGGTGAGAGAGAGTAGGAGACAATAAGGGAGGAGCTCCTTTGAAATATCATAAATACTGACTTTTGGATAATAAGTGAATTTCTTTTTAGTAGGAGTTTTGTCTTTTGAATTCTATGGGAACAAATACATATTAGGTGAGCCTTAGTTACAGGCTTCTCTGGCATACATTGACTTCAAAATAGCATAGATATTGCTCACAAAGTTACTAGTGCAAGGAAAACTTCCACAATTTGACACATTGTTCACTTCTTTTTATATCAGTGGTGCAAATCTTGCAGGTCAGACTGTGAAGTGATGGATGTTCTCCGTGGAAGCTGGTTACACTCCCTCGGAGAAAGGGCATTTGAACACATTTCTAGCCCTGCCTCCTTGAATTGTTTAGTTCTATTGCACAGAAGAAAAATAGATCTCCTTGTTATGTTGTAGTCTGGACTTGGTGAGACAGTTTTTCTATTCTAATTTAGCAAAAAAATATAGCTTTTGTTCTGTACAGCTAAAAATGTTATGCTTGGGAGGGGAAAACAATAGGGAGTGCTTGTAAGAAGGAGCAGGGGCTAATTTTACCAGGATATAGAACTAGTCTCACTGCAGGAAAAAACCACCTCCTTTGACATGGGGTTACACAAGGGCTGGTTCTTCATGTTTAAATGATTCTATGAACTTCACCAGATGTCTGTAAAAGTGACCCATACGCTAAGGATCTCTTATGGTTTTAACCTTATAGGAGCCAGATTTTTTAGCTGTTACATTTTTTCAGGCTAATTTTTGAGGTGTTCACTCTGATTGGAAAAGATATGTGAAAGCAGATGACAACCCTCAATCATGCTTATTTTCAGTCCATCAGAAGTTCTTCCTGACCAATTTTGTGTTTTCTTTGCATTAGTTCCTTGCAGCATAGATGCTTCTTACCAAGGGAAGGGCTGAAGATAGATTTGAACTAAAGCTATGGAATTACGGAAGGACAGCTGCCAGTCAGAAGTATTTATAGAGGATATCAGGCGAGTGCACAGACTTTCCTAGTGGTTAGACTGAGCAGAGATATAAGTGCAATGATGCAGAATCACATATTCCAAATCTGGTTCTGAGAATTGCCTCAATGGGTGTATAGGAAAACCAACAGAAACAGAAGTGCAGATACTAGTTATTTCACTTGATATTCTCCCAGTCCTTACAGATGCAAAATAGCCATTTCATGTTTCTTGAAAATTGAGAATTACCTGGTTTTCAACAACATGAATTGATTTATTACCAAATTATGCAAAGATATTAGTTGTAAACCACGAGATCAGCTCTCAGACAACACTGTTTTTCAATATAGATAATATCTCAAGTATTGTTACCAATTTATTGAGGTATATGAATACTATTCAATTGTATTTTTTTAATCTAGATTTTGTATCATGTTCTTTTCCAAGATGCTATTGCTTTTTTTGGAGACAAAACTAGCAAAATAATTTTGTCTTTGGATTTATTTTTTTTTTGGTATGGGGAATTTGTCAGTAGTGGCTCATGAGTTTAGGTGTATAGTCTTAAAAAAAAAAAAGTTAAAAATTGTATTTTGTGTTGGAGGCTATGTCAGAAAATAAATTACTGAAACTTCTGTGCTGTGTAAGTGACCCATGATGTGACAGTGTCTACTGACATCCTTCTGTGATGCAAGATTAAGCCTGAGATGCAGTTCCCTGATGCTGTGATCTTCTTTCTTGCCTACATCTATTGGAGTGCAGGTGGGAATGCTTTTCAGAGCTGCAATTGGAAATTTTCCCTACAGATTTTTTTCAGGCTAATTTTTGAGGTGTTCACTCTGATTTGGAAAAGATATGTGAAAGCAGATGACAACACTCAATCATGCTTATTTTCAGTCCATCAGAAGTTCTCCCTGACCAATTTTGTGTTTTCTTTTAGTAGTGGTGCTACCATTGCAGACTGACTTCTTAAATAAGAAGATAATCACTTTTGCGTGACCATGAGCACCAAACAACCCTTCCAGATTCGTGCTACATTCAAACAAAAATTTCTCATGTTGTATGAATTAGGTTGGTTTGGTTTGTTGGATTTTTTTTTTTGCTATTTCAAGCACTAATTTTTATTATCCTTCCAAAAGCCTTGATGATGGCAAAGTAAACTGTTGTTTAGGACAATACACCTAGACCTAGACTGACTTTTTAAAAAAAACCCCAAAACAATCAGTTTCTGTGAATCAAGTACATGATATTACCCAAACAAATAAGATCTTAGTGTTACACCAGAAAAAAATAGTCAAAGCTTTTGTGGCTAATTTTTATTTTTCAATGATGGACAAAAGCAGAAACCACAAGATGTCACTGTATCCTAAGAAGCTGAGAAGTACTTTCCCATTGACAGGAATCCTATGGGAGTGTTGGAAAGCTGAATATCCTGAATGGGACTCAACTTTATGTAGGTCTTGGTAAAATTAATGAGTCGTGTGAGTTTGAGAGCATAATTAGACCCAAGTGCTTGAGATTAATAATTGGGGTGGGGGCACTGGAAACAAATAAAAAAACCCCAGCTTTGTGTTGCAAACTTTTCTCTTGTTCTTGATATCAGGTTGTTGGATTAGGTACAGTGAGGTTACATCACTGCCAGGGGTTCTACTCCCTTCCTGGGGAAAAGGCAATATTTTTCCTACAAGGATTTTCTAAAAAAGACAAGGCATACTCCAAAACAGCATTTAAAACCTAATTCTTGAGTTCTTCCTGTCCCTTTTAATGGGCTATCTTTGCTTTTGTCCCTACAATGGAAAATGAATATACATGAATTAAGAAATGGATGGTTTACCCCCAAAACCCACAGCCAGGGAGGAAGAAAATGATGCCTTAGCAACTCGGACGATACCAGCAAGGAGTGAGTTCATTTCCCCTGTGAGCTACTTTGCATCCGCTGCCATAGTTGATGAGAAATTGTATATTAATTTAGCTTACGAAACTGCAGTCCCCAAGGATTTTGCATCAGGCATCGAAATTGTATATTAATTTAGCTTACGAAACTGTCTGCAGTCCCCAAGGATTTTGCATCAGGCATGACTGTTGCAGGGATCCAGAGAGAATGAAGACTCCCCCTGCTTATTTGGGACCTTTGTTAATTGGTTCAGTAGCTTGTCTTTGGCTTCCAGCTGGCATTGGTTAAGGGCTATAAAACAAAGTTACACATGAGAAACCATTCACAGTACACAAACATAGTTGACACTGTAGAACTCATAAACTAATAGTACATATGTTACCTCCAACAACCAGGGCTTCTTAAGTGATGTTCTCTTTATATAGGACTGCTCTTCAACCAACATCCACATGACTTTTACATTTCACTGCAGCAATTAGAAGCCTGAGTCATGGGCCAATTTCACCAGGTATTAGGCAAACTGAATAAAAAGATAGACAGAAGTAATGTAAAATACTGCAGCAACAGTCAAGGCTGTGAGGTTAATGAAGGATATCTGACTTACAGTCACTCTGGCAGGTAAGTAGGTGGAGAAGGGTGGTAAAGATAAATGTATTCTCCAGGCAACAGGTGAGTCTCAGCTCCACTTGCTATTTTAGAAATTGTTCAGAAAATTTTTCAAAACACCTTATAAATCCAGCCTCCAAACTCCAATAATGGCTATGCTTGGAAGTGAGGTAGCTCATCATTCTCAGATAGGTGCAACTGCAAACCATGCACAGCAAAGTTCAAAACATTGGCAGCTATTCCTAAAAATCATGGTCTATAGAAGTTTTCGTGGCACTCTCCATTTTAGACTGTCATCAAATCACCCAAAAAGTTTTTTCTTAATGATGTGTGTGCAACATTGTGTTCTGGAAACTAATCTGGCAGATAGTGGTAGGAAAATTCTAGATCTACAAGGACCTGGCTGAGGAAAAAGATTGAAATTATTCCTGCAACTGGGGAATTTAGCCCTGAATTTGCCTGAATTTTTATCTTTTCAGCCACACTGAGTCACAATATGAATGATGTTTCAGATATGACCCATGATTTACTGAGAACAAGTTCCTTTACTGTCTAGCTCTCATAAACACACATCTTCTCTTCCCCATAGAAGAGTCATCTTTTGGACAAACTGAGGGAAGAATTCCTACAGAAAAATGATTCTGTATTTGTGTAGAAGTGCTTT